TTTTTTTTTTTTTTTTTCAAAATCTATTTTTAAAAAGTTACTATGTACTTGTTTCGCGAGCGCGAGAGTAATTACCGGCGTGACATAAGCCGCGATCGCTGCTGTTGGATGTATATATATATTGTACAGCTCTCGTGTCGTGTGTTGTTGTATGACGAGCGAGAGTTTATAAATATATTTGAGCCAATTGGTAGTTTTATATTAAAAAAAAGGCGAAGGTTGGCGCGATATTTTTTGTAAGAGACCAGAGAGAGCTTTTTTTCATGTGAATCAAATGATCGAGCATTAGAGAGCGGAAAAATTGCAATTTTTTTTATGTCTGTTTTGCAAAGTAGACCAGATTGTGTGCTGTAACCACCCGCAGTAGCTCATACGATCGATTTTTCTCACATTCAACGACGACACGAGAGTCGGGAGGCAGCTGTGTTTGCACTCGTGACCTTTTTAATTTTTTACAACTTTTCGGAATTCTCTTTTCTACTTTTTGCATCATTCGACACATTCTTCGTTTGAAAAGAATTCATTACATTTTATCTTTGCCGGATGAGTATCGTATACGTGTGGCTGCGAATCTATTTATACTTGCTCCCAATGTGCCACGAGGGCATTGGGCTCTTATACGAAAGATCCATTTTTAAAATCTCTTTAAAAGCATACATGTAATTTGCGTTAAATAAAAACGCAATATAACAGTGATATTGGTGAAAAATATTTAACTAAAAAAAAATTAAAGTTAAATGAAATAATCATTGATATCCATTAGATACTTTATTTTGTAAACATGACAATTAAATTTTTCCCGTGTATCTAAGTGCTAAATTCGCAAATGTCAGTAGGATTGAATTTTCTGCTTTTACGAATAAAAATAATTCGTCATCTTAATTCGATAAAAATCTTCTTACAACTAAATTGAGAAAAAGCCAACATGGATAATAGCTTGATTTTTAATAAATAAAATAATAAATCTTTAAAATTTATTTTCAAGTGTAATCATACGATGATTTTAAGTACAATTCACAAGACTACCTAAGAAACTTTTAAAGTATATTTAACGTGAAAAATGATGTAAGCCTCATCTGCCTCTAATCTGATAAACATTCAGCTAATAGCTTTTAAAATGTAAAAATAAAGTTTTTTTCGGGGTACAGAGGAGCCCCTTGCTAGTTCCAACAGTAGCATTTATAATTACCCAACGAATATTCGCTCGACGTACCTACGAAACGAACTGTCGCAATATTTTTATCAACGCAATCCGAGATAATGGACATTCAATGTATACCCACAACTCTGCGCGATGTTGTAAATGCCCAATTCATTCGTAGCCTGCAATTCGGTGGAAAATCATTCATTACCCAACGGACGAATACGGATGTGTTATGTGATACTTAAGTAGTATAGTGCAAGTGATGATGTCGTCAATAAAAAAAAAAAAAAATTAAAAAAAATAAAGATGCAAGAATAATTTACTTCGCGGACCTATACGAGATGACCTTAGTGGCGTATAGTACAAGTAATAGTACACGTGGAGATAAAAAAAAAAAAAAAAAACAATAGAGGCCATATGATAAAAGTATTTAGCAAGCGAACGTCTGTTTTTGGCGGGGAAAGGGGTCAACGGTCTAATATAAACTCGGACGATTGAACGTCGAGGGGCGAATCTGTTTTTACTTTTGTCGCGGTTGATCAAAGAAAATCGTGCCAAATTGATCAATCGGCACAAGTGACCGTATCGATCAACAAATGCAGCAATAATAACAATGACTGCAGTAACAACGCAACATCAAGCAGCTTCTTCTTTTTTTTTTTATTAATTATGTAATTTTTCGTTACAATTATAGATATGGTTTGATAGACACACTTGCGTGTATGTATATAACAGCACCCCTGTGTGATCGATTGAAGATTGGCAAAAAACAATAAAGTATATAATATATATCACGGGATGCGTGAAAAGTTGCTCGTGGTTTTTCACGCGGCTGCGTTCGCGCAGTTCTTCTTCGCTGTGTACTACGACTACACGTACACCCGCGTACCAGTGCAAATTGGAAAGGTTCACAATGCGTACGGAGGAAAATTCAAGTTTCTCACCTTCTGGAACGCGGTTTGTATACATAATGTTACACGCTTGCCTCGTCTACCCATCCATGTTTTTTTCCTCATACACCTGTTCTATTGTAACACCAAAACACTCCAGATATTTGTATTCACAACGACTTGATAAAAAAAGAACAAATTTTAAATTGTCAACGTCTACTTTAAAACAACTCTCTAACTGTACTTACACACAGGGCCCATCACTCGCAATTTTGCACAATACGCACACGAATACAAGTATAACGATTTCCTCGTTCTATAAACATCGTAAATCATCTAATGACAGTATTATACACTTGTATCGTTGGATTTGGAAAATTTAAGCCGCAGTTTCCGCGTTACACAATGATAAATGACACCGCCACAGTTGTTTCATCTTTCGCGCTGAATGAACTTGATTATTCGCCCACTGTATTGAAAAGCTCCCCTACACCCTTACGGAACGCGAGTGTGTACAATGTATATATACGTTTACAGCTATAACCGCGTAACGCATCGTCACATAATTCACGGTAATGAAAGAAAAACTTTGACTCGCGACACGTGATGCATCACGTACTTGTGTACACCTCATTTTTTCCGGTATGTATACATTATAGGGACTCAAAAAGTAGCGGCGATTTGGTTGTGGGTGTATAATGTGTGATATACATTAACGTGTACACGTACGCCGGCATACGTAAAAAGGCCCCTTCCGTGATTGCGTAATTTCGCGCGCGCGCGCGTGTGTGTGTGTGGAAAAGCAGCAGTGGCACATATAAATGTTATATACCCTGCACGACTGCACTCTCGCATCGAGGCTTTCGAACGAGAGGGGAAGAATTGGACGTTGATGGAGCCTCGTTTTCTCCCTCCCTCTCGTACTTGTTTCGCGAGCGCGAGAGTAATTACCGGCGTGACATAAGCCGCGATCGCTGCTGTTGGATGTATATATATATTGTACAGCTCTCGTGTGCATATCCCGCGTATCATATACGAGGCATGTTATAAGCCGAGAGCAGCTGTCGTCGCTATATACCTACCATCAATACGTAATGTATAATATCATGTGGCGCGCGTTACCGCACTATTCGTATTTTCTCTATTTTTATGAATTGCTCTTTTCTTTGTACGCACGTGTACGTGCATAAAAGATCGGAGTTCATCTTGGATTTTACTTTGTTTTTTTTTATTTACTTTTTTTTTTTTTTTTTAAGACTCATACATAGAACAGGATCTTCTCGATAGAAGAAAATCCTAAGGGTCGGGATGAAAGAGATATCCTGTTTAGTTTTGAAAATTTTGTATACAGGGGGTTTCTCGAGGTTACATCAATTTATTGGAAAAGTATTTAATTCAATTTTTTTTTTTTTTTTTTTTTTCACGACAATCCAAAGTCTCATCTCATTCCATTATGAGACTTGGTTGCATACAACGACGGAGTAAGACGAGTAATTCCAAAAAAATTGCAGTCCTACACATATGCCTAACTCATATATACACTAGTATTTTTATTGTTCTTCCACTCGAATTCCAAAAGTTATGTTTTTTGTCATTTCTGCTCTTTTAAAAAACTCACGTACATTTAAAGGACAAAATAAATATGAATAGAGAACCCATTACCTCGAAAACGTAAAAAAAGTATGCGTGTATGTACTCGAAAAGAAAAAAAAAAGTTGCCATGACTGTTCCTATCTTTGACAAACCAAGACATCGCGAGAAGTATAAGATCGTCAAGTCGAGGATTTTACGTTGCTGTACACGCAATACGCGTTAGTACAACCTTTGTCATGAGTTTCCGTGGCCACGCACATATTACACACACGCACTCGCGTTCATGCGAAATTTCGAAATACACCTCATACAGTCCGCAAGGTATGGGACACTTGATAAGTTATTCTTGTACAGTGGAACAACTAAAAAATTTCAAATGCACGGACATAATATACACGTATGTGTGTACGCCATAAAATTTTTCAATTCCTGTATTTTGCAAGGGCTACAACGCAAGTACTGAAATTAACGTGCGTTCACATGGGAAATCAACCATTACAATGTCCACTGATGTGCACACACATCCTTTTGTTAATGAAAATTTCTTTTCGCAACGAAATAACTGTCATAATACTACGCGTAGTTTTACTTGGTAATTAAAAAAAGTAATTTTTTCCCCTTCCCATCATCTTTTTGATTGACAGATTGCACAGACGATATTTTTCCTACTATGCATGCTCAACGATATATTCGGTACGAACAGCGTCAATCCGAAAAAGAGGCCGTTCATACGCCAATTCAAGGACTACTTCTACGCGGCCATTGGTTATCCAGTGTCTATGGTAAGCCAGCAACTGTATATAAAACATTTTTTGTAGGTACCGTTCGTGTTTATGGCCAATTTATCTGCTGCTCTTCCTTTAATTACTCTGATACACATGTACATTAGTGTATACTAGTATATATCACAGATAGTGGGTTGCCTAACAACATACCTACATTTTTGCTCGATACACCACTGTCAATTAACGTTGTTTCTGCAATAATTTTCTCTATTGCAATTTTTATATACATGTGTATCATAAAAGAAAAAAAAAAAAAAGAAAAATGGAGTAAAGTTCCTTTGAAACTGTATATTGACGCAAACAATAGAAAGCTATATTGGGTTATTGGCCCACGGTACGATATAAAATAATTTAATTATCGAATCAAGACATAAGTAACACATACTCAAAAACAATAAAATTTTGTTAAAAATAGAAATTATTTTACCAAAATAAAAAAAACAATTGTCATAATCGCAGTTATAAAGTCTGATGTTCATCGATCGTGAACTGGTGCTGCCCAAAGCCCTGGACCCCTACTTCCCCTGGTGGCTGAATCACTTGATGCACACGATGATTATGATCACGACTGTTCTGGAAATGCTGATGGCGCCACGGCAATATCCCAAACGCTCGAAAGGCCTCGGTGGCCTCGCCTTCTTCATGCTCGCTTACTTGTCCTGGTACGTTTCAATTAAGTATGTACATCGTGTGCCGCAAATGAACCCACAAACAAATTACAGATAATCACGCGAGACCATCCTTTCCTCAACACGTCATTGTTTTTATCACAGATGTTTTATTAATTTTTATATGTACATTGTTTACAATGTGTTGATTCAACATTTTTATTGTACCCCTTACAGGATGCACTTTGTGTGGTACAAGAGCGGAGTCTGGGCGTACCCGATCATCGAAATTCTTACGGTGCCGCTCAGGGTCGCCTTTTACCTGACGATCCTCACCCTCGTGACTGGCCTGTACTTTATCGGGGAAACCGTCGACCGGCTGATTTGGGGTGAGTTTTCAAAATTTTATTCAAAAGCCGATTAGCTTTGCTTTTATCATCGTTTGCATTATCTTTTTTTTTTTTTTTTTTTTTTTTACGTTTGCTACATCATTGGTCCATGGGTATAAATTAGAATTCAACTGGTTGATTTTGCAATCATTCACACCTACATCCATCTCCACCACAACTCATAACGCAGCTTTTTTTTGTTTTGTAGTACAATAGCTTGCACATACTTGTATTATGTATAGATACGCAGTAACATTTCATTCGTTTGATTCACGTGGACTTAATTGTCAGATGTGCTGTATATCATCATTACTTCTATCTCGATCGCATGTACATTGTGTTTTGACGCTTGGAAAATTAATCACAACTGTATATAATCATCATCCATGATGGAAAAATTAAGATTTTCACCTCTTTCTCTCGGCGTTGAACTCGAGATTGAACTAAATCGAGGCTATTGTTGTTTTTTTATTGTGCATGTACATAGGGAAACGGTACCTAGAGGCATCTTTCTCGCCGGAACTGAAATTGTAAAACAGTTTGACGGGGAAGACCACTTATCTCGCCAAGAGGACTGCTTTTATCGCTATCCCATGAAGGAAACGCACACGAGCGACGTTCAACAATTTTTTTTTTTTTTTTTTTTCTTCAATATCTATTTTTAAAGTTACTATATACCACTACAACTTTAAAAGGGTAGAGGAACGGTGACGATTTTTTTCTCTTATGAATTATGTACACTCCCGTATGTACATGATATATATCCTCGAAACAGTATGATAAACTTTTTACGAGTTAAAAATATTTTCAAAGTAAGTGTACATGAATATGGATTTTCACTCAATCAGTGCGATATTTTTTATAAACATATTTCTACATACGAGACTGAGTTATAGTGGAGTGGAAAATAAAAATATTTTCATGCAACATTTCATTACGAGATTTAGATTTTATTACAAACATTTAGGAGCAACGATTTCTCTACCCTGAATAAATATAAGAGATTGTAGTTATGTAAAAACTTGAAAATTTGACGATTCAAATGTGATTGATGATGTTGACGCAAAATTGGATAGTTTTACTTTAAATTTGTATTATTTTTACAACAGTAGTAATAAAAAAAAAAAAAAAAAAAAAAAAAAAAATGATCCAAATGCATGCACGAACATATAGTTTAGCCATATAAGAATATAGGCCACTTTTCGTTCTGAAACACTAGTTCCTTCTTAATGTTATCAAATAAGTCTATGTCTGGATATAGACGCATAAGGTTTACTTTATATACATTATTTTCACTTGCATATTTTTACGTTGTAATAGACAATATTGTAACGCTTCAAAACTCGTAAACACATGTAAGTGAATTGGCCTGCCATTAGTATTATATTCGAAACTCTTGCGACTTGATGGAAAAAAAAAAAACACTTTATTCGATTCTTGTGTAGTTTTATATTTGTATAATAAATTGTGTATATGTATATATAATTACGTATGTATATTGGTCGATATTTCTTCTTTCCACCTATTTTTTTTTTTTTTTTGCATGAATATACATTATTATTATCAGTAGTTTTTCTCAAGTTGGGTGAAAAATAAATTAAGAGGTTCATTCAACTCATACGATTCAACTTTTTACACAATATATATATACTTCGATTTGGCAAATTTCTCATACAAACATCACCACTGTACTTACGTCTTTTTATTTGTTCACCTTGTAAGGTAAGTGCAAATTATGCGATTTGCATTGACTAGCGACCTGCACGCTTTCCCACAATTTTCAAAAGTATGTTTATTGTGGACAAACCACGAGATTTTGTCAAAAGAATGTATCTTAATGTTATTATTTCATTTCGATGCTTTTTCTTCGCGTATTAAATTATTGAAAGTGTAAATATATATTTGTGCCTATGGTAGCTTGTCATTTGACACATAACTCGATGCAAAATTCTAAGATTACCACTTGTTTACAGATGAATTTTTATTGATGTTTGATATTTTTACAGGGAAAATTGCGAAAAGTGTGGAAAAGAGCGGCAAGAAGAAAAAGTAAAAACTATACAGACATGTTAGAGAATATCATTGCCTAATTGTTCTCTTAAACCGTAAAGGCCCTAAGCATTGAAGATTACGAACAATCGAGTACATTCCGATGTCTTTCCCCTAATTAATTTTCTCATTATAATCCTTGTGAGCTTCGAGTTTCGGTGAACGATATACTTTTTTTTACTTTTGTAATTTTCAAAGGCTTGACAAAAAAAGCACGAGTAGAACATTTTTTGCTACGAGAGTTGAATCAACTAACATTTGAAAGTGTACTGTAGTTAATAGCGTAGGGTCAAAAGTTATATAGGAAATATTTTAGACTCTTGTTCGATAGAGTAAAAAAAAAAATAGCTGTCTCTAATGTTCTTAGCATTTTCGTCCCTTAAATCGGAGTTAAACATCGAACTTTTTGGTCTGGATAGAAAAATGTATGTTTGTTCATTATATTGGATTTTATAAGTCAAAAAGGTTATAAAGTTGTCAAGTAAATTGTACTTGGTACATGTTATTTTTACGAATAATTTAAGGAGGTTCAATAGTCGTCTCAAATAACAGAGAAAGTAGTAAAACTTATAACAATAACTTTAGAATATCTGGAAACTGTATGGATTTTTCAATATTTTTTGTTTTTACTACAAATTTTTTTATAAATGAACGAGACTAAAATTAATTGTTGTCCTTAATAGCTTGTATTACGAAAATTTGTGGTGCAAAATATTTAAAAAATGTACAGCTACCTGACACTCTAAGTAGTTATTATTGAAAGTTTCACTGCATTAAACCTCCTTAATTAACAACTCAACCATGTACAAATAAGATTGAACCAAGTAACTATTCATCGTAAATACATATATTTACCTTACATAAATATTAATCTCGTAAATTTTTGTACAACTACTGCATAATATCAATTTGTCTACACACAAGTTGTTGTGAAAAATAATAGAAGCGATAATTTCGTCCTGAACGTGAGATGTTGGCTTTATTTCATACCATTTTAAAAGTAATATATGAGAATCTAAATTAAAAAATTATATAATTTGATTCTACATAGCCAATTGTAGCTGAGGAGCGATGAAAACTTTGTATTATTACAAACTACGAAAGAACATGCACTTGGACAATTGATTGAAATAACAGCCCAACGTTTCATTCTCACACCTGTACGTGCCTAAGATGATATTATTGTATACTTGTGAAGGAATATTTTGCACCAGCGTTTGTTCATACTTTTGATAGAATAAATATATTGTCTTGTTGCGTTTGCTATGTTATAGTAAATAAAATATTGTTTATAAGAAGTTTATATTTCACTAGAATACTCAGACGCATAATACGAATAAACAAAAAGCCAAACACTATTGTAAAACAAAAATATTAAACGTTGAGATGTGTAAACCTCCCACATAATTTATTTGTACTGTGTAATTTATATTTTATTAGAACTGTTGTTATTTGTCACGAATCGAAACAAGGTGAATTGAGAAAAATAAAAATGCTGAGTTTAAAAAAAATCTTTGTATTTATACTTTAATTAATTTAAAAAGCGTTTTTTGCTTTGTTACAGTATTCTTTACTGATAAAGAAATTTATACATATATGTTACAATTTGATATTTAAAGATTTTATACTTACTTTCCATCAATAAGACCCGAGAAACCAATAAAATTTTACAGCATTATGTTACTTTTATGTACACTATATAACATACTTGGGCGGATTAATAAAATGAAGATCATTGTACACTTGGGAGTCATCAAAATCCGTCTGTCCTTGAGTCGTTGCCTGTTCTTTTCTTATTCCTCCAAAAACTATTAGTTCTCCCTTGCCAAGGACCAGAGAATACAGTATTCTCTCGTCCGGACCAGCCTGATTATTTTGTTTCAAAGGAATCCAGGATGCGGAACACTCGTTGCACAACACGTCGTTAATGTCTAGTACAAATATGGCTAGTGTATTTTCGGTCTTTTTGACAGCCTTGGACTGAACTTTGCGGCTCTGAAGTCTCTCTTCCAATCGACGAAGAGATTCCAACTGCCGCTGGCGGTTTAAGGAGGAGTTGGTTCGTACGGCATCTTCACGGAAGGCAGCCAAGCTCAACGTGCTGTCGTAAATTGGCATCGGCAGAACGTGATTAGACGGTGAACTCGATGCTCTGGGTTGTGAATTTCGAAGATTTGATCTTTGAAGATGGCCTCGGCGCCCATTGACATTCTCATCTCGATCTATTTCTCGCGTTGGTCTTTGTCTACCAATAAAAGAAATAAATTGAATGTGTCTGAGGTAAGATTTGTGGGAAATAATTTATGAACAAAGATAATTACATGTGCCGTTCTCGGGGAGGTATATTAAAATTTTGAGGAGGATTTGCTGGTTTTCCTACAGATATACTCATACCATTGAGATGTGATTGTCTTTTTTTCTTACTCAAAACGATCACATTATTCCCCACCTAGAAGAAAAAAAAATCTATTTGGTATTATGATCGAACACAACAAATAATCTGACAACCCAAAATATACAATACCTTGCATGCCTGGTGGCACCATATCCTAGTTGGGGCATACTCTACATGACGCATATTGACTTTTTTCCACATCCAAACTGGATCTTCCATTGTCAGAAGCCAAGCATCATTCATGGCAACGTTTGGACCTGTACATCCACCTGAAACACAACATATTTACATGTTTGAGCAATATCACTTTGTATTCACTTTACTCGGATTAGTTATTAGAAAATCCATAAACCTTACCTAGTATGAGTATATATTTATCACCCAATGGTATTTGTGATTGGCCATAACGCGACAAAGGCTTTAAAATAGACGTGGCTTGTTTTTTCCATGTGTACGTGTCTAAGTTTAAACACCATACATCATTTGTACTATATCCATTAGAAACACCACCAAATACAACCATAGTATTTCCATGAATAGAGGCAGAATGAGCTGATGTTGGGGGTGGTGTTTCTAATGGATTTATAGCAGCCCAACGATTGGATTCAATCGAATAAACGTGCAGTTCATTGAACAACTTCCATTGCTACAAAAAGAAAACAATAATTAAAAAAATAAAGTCATTTGGGGTAGATTTCGCGATAATTTATCAATTACCTGATGCAAAGGATATGGAGAAGGATGAGACCAGCCACCAAACAAGATAAAACTTTTTTTGTAGTAGAGCATAGTTGCACACGCTTTGGGAGATGGATAGCTTCCCATTGTAATGGGTCTCACCCATTCTCTGGTATCAAGATCTAGTCTCCATAGATCGTTAAACGTAGTACAAGCAGCTGTACATCCACCAAAAACATACATAGAATTATTATATGCACAGGCTGAATGAGAGTGTCTCTTTCCAATGGTTGGTGTCCAGTGCGTACTGGGCCAAGAATTCCAGAGTAAAGATCCATAAGCCACTGACTTTTGAAAGTGTGCCTGGTTGTGCTCGATAACGTCTAAAATTATTTTCATATCATTAGCGAAAAGTTGGATATGTGAATGCCGTTTGATAATGACATGATAATTTATGAAACTCACTATTTGTTGCCTGACACCATCTCTTGGAGACGTACCTACATTCCTGAAGATCTTTGTAAGGAGGAACCAAGCTTAAAATGTACTCCAAAATTTCATCCGGCAGATCATTAATGTGGCATTGCATTTTAAAATATCACTTTTACAACTTTTCTGCGGACGCACTTTATAACACAGAAACTACAAATGACGCATATGATGCTGATTGTTTTCTCAACAACATAACCTAACATTTACAGGATTGTTTAATACCGACGATTGTCTGTTTTTTGAGATATTCAACATTTCTCACCATGAACACAATGTTTTTTCCCTCACCACTTAGGTGAGAATAATGCTTACTTGAAATTTATAAAAACTCGAAACACATGACTGAGGCTGATATTGTTATTGTATTACTGCACACAAAATGACAATCAACAACTCCCATAGCAAAAAATTATTGTACTGTACCCATAAAATGGCTCTAAAAAATAAAACACGATGGTTTAACACTTTATAAGAATAGGCTCTTCAATCGTTAATTTGTGTGGACGTCAAGAATGTCAAAGTCAAAGAGGTACAGAAGTATTATTGTTATTTTGTTGCGCATTCATTGCATGAAATTTCTTATATATATCGCCCTATGTATGTATAGAACTGTATGTAAAATGTAAGGACGCAATGCCACAACGATTTTTATAAGCCATGTAAGATAAGTAGAATATTTATGGTTTTAGAGGCCGGTTTTCAAATTAAAGATAGATTGGAAACTTGCCGCAAATAGCAAAAAAAATGTCAACTTAATATTGTCTATCTACAAGATTAGTTGCGGCTGGTTTATAATTCATAAACTGGCTCTACAGTAAGTAGTTAGTAGTAATAGTTATTTCGAGCAGCGCCATCTAGCGGTCGTTATTTTTTGGCCAAAAGTGGCTCCTAAAATTCTGAATCAGAGCAATCAGTATTAGAGCCATTTAGTCAATTATAAACCAGCCGCAACTTCTGATCAAGCTATAAAATAGAAAAATAACAATACATGTGTTTTTGGCGGCAAGATAACAATATATTTTTACTTGAAAATTCATCTTCAAAAGTATTGATACATAGAAGGTCAATTTTTTGGTAAAAAATAGATTGCTAACTTGCCGCCAAAAACACATGTATCGTTATTTTTTTTATTTTATAGCTACATGATAAGTTGCGGCTGGTTTGTAATTGACTAAATAGCTCTGAGCTCAATTGCTCTGTATCAAAAGTTTAGGGCCACTTTTTAGTTCAAAAATCCGCAACGCTAGATGGCGCTGATCCAAATAACTATTACTATATACTTACAGTAAAGCCACTTCATTAACTATAAACCAGCCGCAACTAATTATATAGATAGACAATGAAAAGTTGACGTATTCTGTGCTGTTTGCGGCAAGTTTACAATTTATCTTTGAGCCAAAAATTGACATGTAAAAGTATAAATATTCTACTTATGTTATATGGCTTACAAAATCAACCATATTCACAAACTTACAATACCTTAGACCTTTTACCAATAATTTATGGAAGCACAGCCCTTTAACTTTTTATGGTTTAAATAAACAGTTAACTCACATGATATGTATTGTGTTACACAAATCTCGAATGACGATAAACACATTTGTGAATTAATTAGACCGAAGAAAAAAGGCCTAAAAAAGAAGTACAGTCACCCGAAGAGTCTCCTAAGAATGGAGCATTGCATCTCTCATGATCAGAGAATGTTGGGTTCTTTGTTTATTTATAAGACTTAAAACTTACTTATCTGTAATAAATGTATTTTTTATTTAGTAAGAACCAATGCTCCATTCTTATGAGACTCTTCCTGTGACTGTACTTCTTTTTTAGGCCTTTTTTCTTCAGTTGTCTCTTTTCGACTGATTAATTCACGTATATATTTGATCGTAATTCAAAATTTCTGTAACACATTACGTATCATATAAGTTAACTGTTTATTTATACTATAACATTAAAGGGCCGTGCTTCCATAAGTTAATGGTAAAAGGTCTAAAGTATTGTAATTTTGTAAATGTAGTCGATTTTATAAGCCACATAAGATAGGTAGAAAAATTATAATTTGGAGGTCGAATTTCGGAAAAAAAAATAGATTTAAAACTTGCCGCAAATAGCACATAACATTGTAACTTTTTATTTACTATCTACAAGATTAGTTGTGGTTGGTTTATAATTAATAAAGCGGCTCAACTGTAAGATATAGTAATAGTTATTCGGATCAGCGCCATCTAGCGGTCGTTATTTTTTGGCCAAAAGTGGCTCCTAAAATTCTCAGTTAGAGCAATCAGGATTAGAGCCATTTAGTCAATTACAAACCAGCCGCAACTTATGATGTAGCTATAAAATAAAAATATAACAATACACGTTTTTTTGGCGGCAAGTTAACAATTTATTTTTACTTGAAAATTCATCTTCAAAAGTATTAATACATAGGAGGTCAATTTTTTGGTAAAAAATTGATTGGTTACTTGCCGCCAAAAACACGTGTATTATTATTTTCTCATTTTATAGCTACAAGATGAGTTGCGGCTGGTTTATAATTGACGAAATGGCTCTAGGCGCTAAAGCACTCATTCAGAAGTTTAGGGCCACTTTTTAGTTAAGAAATTCGCAACGCTAGATGACGCTGATCCAAATAATTATCACAAATTACAACTTACAGTTTACAGTAGATGAGAGTAGATGCGATGCGAGCCATGCCATGATGTCATCTCTATGCATGATGCATGATGTAATGTAATCGATATAACACCAATACTTACGCAGTGTTGTTTGACGCATGTACGCTGATATATAGTCATACAGTTTATTAAAAGCAAATGGAGTTGTGTATATACCTACACACGCGAGGATTTGCAGTGCACAACTGCACATGGAGTTCAAGTTGTTAACAGCAAGCATATACCTATAAATTATCTTATTGTGCTGTGTTGTAGAATATAGTGGTAAATTAGTTTAACTTTATAATTATGAGTGAGCAAGTCAACTGTTTGAGTGATTGTCCTAATCTCATAAGTCCTTATAAGACACCAAAGATTTTGTGGTATCAAACCGGCAATGCCGTTTTTATTCGTATTTTATTACCGGATATCGAGAGATACCACCTCAAAGTCACTGATGATACTTTTACGTTCAGGTAATTATTTGGAACTATTTGTTTATTCACGTGAGTTGATAATAAAACTCAGATTGCATTGTTTGATGAGTGAGGAATTTTTAGTGATGTAATCGCATATTTCATTCTTAAAAAAGTTAAATCGTACATACAAAAGCTTTATGTACTTGATATTGGAGTATTAATTTTCATTTACATTCAGGACAGATTTGAAGGATGGAAAGTATTTTGTGGGTATTAAGCTCTGTGGAACAGTAGTTGCAGAAAAGTCATCGCATCAAAAGCTTGGCAGAGAACTCAAAGTTTGCCTGATCAAAGCTCACAGGTGTAAGGAACTCATAGACTTTTTACTAATTCAAGTACAAAATTTAATGTATTAACTTAATTCTTGTTGTAGGGACTGATTGGCCCCGATTGCATTTAAGTAGGGATAAGAATTCCTTTATATCACAAGATCCTGAACATATTATAAAAAAGAAATGGGATGATCCTTATGCTCCTTATGAACGTAAGTCAATAGATACATGTCTGTAAATTGAGTAATGCAGAAAAGAAAGTTATGACATATGCTTTATTTTCAGAAAGGGAGAGTTTTGAAGAGTACAAAAAGCGAATGGGAATAACAAATATTATGCCTGAAGGCTCTTCGGAAGAAGATGGCACTGATTCTGATGATGAGAAGTTGATTGGTTATGATGAGATATAACTGTTGTGATAAAAGTTTGTTACTTAATTTAAGTATTTATCCAATAATAACTCTTTTTTTAATAAAAGTGTATTTTATTATATTTTTGTATTGAAATAAAATTTTTTGCATCAAATTGATGAAAAATTAATTGTTGTTTCACGATAATTTATTTGTGTAGAGTTCTTGAACTCTTGATAAAAATTAAACTCAACTCTGACTTTTGTGGTAACAAGACACCATTAACTTTATTCATGAAATCGAATTGAATTACAATTTGTGTAAATCTCTAGCTAAATAGCCAAGATAGTAATTTTTATGCTGAGACTACGTGCACCATTTAGTTTTACAATTAACAATAACAAATAAAATGGATGCACATCAAACACATGAAAAGTAAAATATCAAATACTACTATCACCACACACACAACTCTTTGTTAAAAAGTACCGAAAACTTAAATGTAGGAGGTAAAAAATTTATTTTTTTAGCACTGTAAAAATTGTTGAATTTATAATCATGGAATGTAATTTGAAAAGTTAAAATTTTAAATCCTATATTCCTATTACATGTTAAAAAGTGGCTCTGCTAAACAATAAAATTATAGTTAAATAGTACGAATTTCAAGTTTAGTCCTACAAGCCATAATACTAAAAAAAATAAAAACAGAATAAAGATGTAAAATTCACTATTAATAAATATATTAATCCACTGTACATATTTATAATCATACAAAATATTTAAAAAAAAGAACAAAGTAAAATCTACATACTTTTCATCGCGTCAATGAAGAAATACACTTACAATTCAACAATTATTTTAATAGATAACAAAACTTGACGTAAGTTTCATGGTGCGTATTATTGTTTTTTTGGCTATTCGAATTTTTTCATATCCCCAATGCATAATATTAAAAATGCTTTTCTCGCTATATTTACAAAACTAGGTGTCCTAACACCCCTCGAGAGACAGTCTCTGGTTAATATTCTCCACGCGAATCTTCATTTCCCTCAGTACATCCTCGGCAAGATCGTCAACGTTCGTGTATCTGACTTTGTAGAAATTAAATATGTCTATTAAAAATTCAACTATCTGATCTCTAAAGTAATAACAAGTTGAGCGCAAGCTACTTTCAGGTCCGAGAAAGCCCCAGACCAGCACTGGCGTCACCTGCTCCGAGATTGAGTAAAAGTGCGCCATGAAGCCTTGCGGATGCTTGAGCATTTTCCTCTTGCCCAGTAACACCGACCACACCGCAGTACCTATTGCCTGCAGGAGAAAAAGAAAACAAATAGCAAGACATTATTCAATTACGTCGGGAAAGGCAATGACAGCGCAATTATTGTTAATACCGTCTCTCGGAAGCTCGCAGAGATCCATCGGTTTTGCAAAATAGCCCTGATCGAAGCTGGTGGATTCTCCATCTCTTCGAAGGCATCAAGCAAAACGAAATCAATGACGACGTCGTAGAAATTGATACACCTGACGCCTCGCGTTCCCAGCTCTTCCTTCATTATTCCCAAGTTTGGTTCATGGCTGAGAAACTCGAGCATTTTCTCGTAATGCATCAAGTAGTCCTTGGGATCCTAAAAACCGATTAGCAGTGCCTAATGGTTAGAAAAAAAAAAGAAAAAAAATTGTGACATAAGAAACAATTGATCTTTGGAACCCACACGGTCGGCAAATATGATCAAATCGCTGATCAATTGGCGGCCCACGTCAGCGACCCACGTAGCTGCGTACGATTGTCTGAATAGTTTGGAGTATGCTTGCCTGAGACAGTGGACCTTTGATAAGTACTCCACGTCGGAGCCACACTTGACTAATTCCGTGTGCAGCCGTCTGAAAATAAAAATCGTTCTGTATTTTGTTTCTCTCGCAAGGACATTATTAATTGTCAAAAAAGCGCCGACAAAGTCTAACATGCATTTCGAAGCGACTGGCATACGTACTTTTCCAAGCCGTTTCTACTCATCCTGAAAAACAAAATAAAAAAGCTGATAAGTTAAACAGCAAATCGAAATAACAGGTAAACTCGTTCCATTGAACATATTCAATTGTCCGGACTCGGCTGAGTTAAAAATGTACATAATTATAAGATTCAAACGATATATATCTTTAAAAGTACTGCAGCAAAACTACTCTGCCAAATGTAGATAAATTCTATAACATTTATAGCAATTGGCAAGTGGTGCTGTGTACAGCTGGTCAAGCAATCATAAAAAAATTCTACTCTTCAATTATATACTTTAAAAACAAGCAAATTCATTGAATGGATTAATGAATGTATAGCTGAAACACATAAGTAGATGTACATACCTGCACACAATGCCATCGTCCTCGTGTTGTTTGAGCGCCTCGTGGTATAATTTTTGTTGCTCAAAGTGCGGATACACCTCAGCGAATTCCTCGAACTCGCGCAAATCAGCGACCTGCGAAACGATGAATCAGCGGAGTATTTATTGAATACAACAGCACACATAGTACAGTTGTAACTCCGAGCGTGTAAATTGTACTTACGCCATCCTTGGCAGAAGCATAGGACTCGGGCGAGGATGCCGGGTCGTGCTTGTCTCTGATGACGGACAACCTGGTCGCCAGAGTCGACGGCTTGTGACTGTCCTCGCTGTCGCTCTCGTTTCTAAACAACACGGAATGCTGCAAAAAATAAAATAAAATTATACTCTTTTCATGTGCTGGTATACTTCTGTAAATCCCATTGTTTTTAAATTAAAAAAAAAAAGAAAAAAAAAAGAAAGACAGTTAACGGTTCACCTGATCGATGAAGAGCATCTCTGCCTGATTCTGTATCTGGTAGCCCAAGTCGAGCAACTCCTGGACATCGCGCGTGAAGGCCGCGTCGGCTTTCGAGGGTAGAGCAAAGGCCTCGCTGTTGAGGGCCGAGCTGAACGCCGTGAGGGCATCCTCCCAGCAGTAGAGCGCCTTTTCCAGGGCCTCGAGACCTGCGGCAATAAAATACCTACAACCGTGGCTTCTGCTCTCTGACGAAAAACCAGTTGTGGCCGACAAAATCGATCTTTAATCGTTGGCTTTTCCTCCACAGCTGTATACTTAGACTACGGGTTACGGGTCTTGATTTTTTTTTCTATTTTTTAATTGATATTGATCCAAATTGATGTGCTCTTGTATGCTTAGTTTATGAAAATCATTGGTAATCCCCATTGAGTATTAAATTGAAGAAAAAAAAAAGCACCACAGCAACTAGCATATACATATTATATATACGACCGCCTTCGAAGTCCGAATAAAATATACGCGGTGGTTAAATCGAGACGTGGAAATACAAAATTTATAACTTTCTTAAACACATACACACCCCTACGTTATACGTTAGTGCAGATTGAAATAAAAGACGAAAAAGAGTCAAGGTACACACGTATGTATACATAAATGTATACGCTCTCGATCGAGCTGTATATAAGACTCATTACTACTTCATTGCTGGCCTTCATTAGGGCTACGGTATACAGCTTCTCTTGATGGTATATACCAGCTTTTTTTATTATCACTATATACAGGTATGTGTACATATATTTAACGCGTGGAAAAAGCTTATTCTTCGTTTTTTCGCGTTGGTGCTGAGAACAAGTGGGACTAACGATCGCACGAGCCGATGTGATGCGCCACAGCGTGGGTGCTGACGCGCTTTTGTTGAATTTGCAATGCCCATATAGAGGAGCTCGGTCATCCGCGCGTATAAGTATACTTTGGTAAGCTGTGACTATTTATGCACAATGAAATAACAATAATTCGGTGTAAAGTCAATATCTTTGCGTAGGTAAAAATTGTATGTATCGCCTGTTGTTTACACGAATAGCTTCCAATTTTCATGTCCCAACAGATGATCCGGATTACCCGATACCGATCGATCCCATATTTTTCATCGGGCAAACCGAGCAAACGGTCACACGGATAATATTGAAAGGCCAAATCATCCCCCCTCCCCACCCGGCTATGGTGGAGTAAACCCCGTTGTAAACCGGCTTTGGAAAAGCATCGATGGTACACGTATAATATGTGGTTTTCACATGTCATACACTCTTTACATCTACAGGGCAAACCCCCTGGGGGGTGCAGTAATATTCAATATGTTCGGAGCCCGACTGGCTATACTCCTATAACAATCGCGTGTTTTCTCGTTTTCACGTCTACAACGTTATATTAGCCCCTACTGGCGTCATCCCCCAACGGTGTGCGTATATGCTTGTATTCTATCCCACGAGCTGTGAGTGCCGCCCTTGGCATCGGCTAGCTCCTGAATAAAAGAGCGAATAGAAGGAAACAGAGCGCGCGTCAAAGTCTACATATACGAAACATAATTCATCGACTATTGGATGTATTGATATACTTCACCCTGAGGGGGATTCAAAAAACGGTAGCATTATGTTGAAATTTGTTGTCATTGTTTTTTGTATCATCACGTTTCTTAGGATATCGATTTCCAGGTATATCGGACACGCAAGTTTTCGACCTCACTGGACCATTTTTTGGCTAACCCTCCTATACTTCACGATTTTTCAGGGATTACAACATGTACATGTAATGTAAATACCAATCATACGCATCTGGCGCGTGTTACATAGGCATCTCCCGAGCTACGGGAATTTCCCGTGGATTGCGCGCCTCCAGCGTGTGTCGCATAAACCAAAATCGAAACAAGGTTCTTTCGTGCGGGTGACCTTGCCATTGACTTTTACTGCGACGTATGTTTGTATAATAAAGAAAAAGGGGGATAAGAACGGGGGTGTGTGTGTGTACTCCACCCTTCCCACGGGTAAAGGGGAGAGACTGACTATCAACACGTGGTTTATCGATTTTGCCGGGCGACCATCAAGATTTCCCATGTACATTAACTGCGGTTCCTTAGCTGCCGCGCCATACGCAGGTGGTACAATAAACCTTTTTTTTTTTTTTTTTCATATTAGTTACGAAAATGACGATTGAAACCCTTGAAGTGACTGGCCTTTCAAGTACCACTAAAAGAGGGAAAGAGAGGAGAACAAGTATATTTGGCGCAGTAATCGACGATACAGTAAGAAAATCGAAGGTACTGCACACACGCAAGGAAAGCCGTGTGCGCCAAGAATACAAAAGGATCACAACAGTGGCGTCGAGCCAGTCCGATATATATCTATGTGCTCCGAAAGGATGGACGAAAAAAAATACGATATGAGAGCATACGTATATAACATGCACAGTATGCAATCACCACGTATATATTTATACTGTGTACATGGAAAAAATTTCCGAGCCCGAGATTGATCCGACCGAGGGAAAGAAAAAGGGAAAAAGAGAGAAAGTTATAGAGGACTCGTTTATTTTAAATGGGTAAATATACGTATATATACCTATGGCCCATCGCGACTCGAAGTAAGGTCATGGTGTATAACACGGGGACGGGGGAGCAAGAGGGACCATTTCGTGCAGTAGTGTGAACTGTACAGAGGGCGTCTACGTAAGTACATGTTTATATCCTACACGCAGAAAAAGAGCCAATGTGCAAGTATACGTAAGGCGTTTTACCCTTGTCAGTTTCACCTATCTCACCCCAAACCCCAACCCCAGTGGATAATGTGTGCCTACCTACATACCCCTTGCACACGTATTGAGAAGAAGAAGAAGAGAGTCCTGGCACTCTTTCTCCAATGCTATACTGTCGGCGTCGATAACACGCGCGCCAAAAGGATGACGTAATCCTTTTGCCGGTTCGTTATTGGAGGATCGGACGTCCAATGAACGACAAAGGACTATACTGGCACAACGCCGCCGCGTAGTATATAGTCTTTTTTTTATATTATAGTGCTCTACGTCCGGCTCCTTTTTAATAATGGCACTACACAGGGCACTTAGCACTTGGGAAAGGGACAAGGAAAGAGATGGGAGGCCTCCCATTACTGGGAGGGGGGGTAGGGGGAAATTGGGCAATTTTTGCTGCTTAAACCCTCCTCGAGGAGGCATTGCGTGGTGAAAAAGCACATGTGAAAAATCACAGAGGTACTTGCCCGAAAGTCGCACTGGCCGGGAATCGCGAACCACGATCTCCTGCGTATCTATCCACGACCTAGCCGACTGAGCCACCGCGCGCTCGTAGTATATAGTCATCAGGTATATTTACATCGGTTTATTGTATGCCTGATGGTGAATGTAGTAACACATAAGAAGGAAGGAAGGAAGGAATATGGGCACGTTTTTGGAGAAAACAAAAGGACTGTGTACATGAGAAAGACACCGAAGGGGGTATATGTGTTTACGTTGCATACTCGTGCACGTATGAGAAAATCCACAAAAAAACTTGGCACGTTTTAAAAATTTTAATGAAACTTTAATAAGCTCCACATGACACGGCAAAATATAAAATTACAATTTGTCTTTCCGTTCCACTCCAATATAAATCTTTGGTGCTCATCTTCAAACATCTCATGTATCCCTTTCTTCATTTCTGACTCCAAATCCTGGTTTTTTTTTCTTTGTCATCTATATCTCTTTTTAAATCCATCACTATTTATTATGTGGTGCGGTTATACAATGATTGTCCTTTGCCTTATTCTCAATAGGACCCAATATTATTACCCTGGTTACAAAATACAAAGATAAAACTGACACAGGACTGCCACTTGTTATTCCGAACTGATATTTTTTACGGAAAAAGCGCACAAAGTAAGGGAGGACCGCTACTTTTGATTTGGGGACGATGGCATTATGGTGCACCGTATGTATGAGGGAAGAAATAAAAAAGGGGGGCGACTAGAGGACTCGTGGGTTGCACGCGACTTGAATTGATATTGGAAAAGATATGTGTATTGTAGGCATACAAACACCATTGCGAAAGACTTATGCAACACTAGCGATTTTCTATTACGCTTTATTATCTAATGTGCACTATGCGGGTATGGCTGTTTTTTTTTATTTTTGGTATAAACATTGTTTTTTTAAAACTTGTAAGAAAAGCATTAATTATTTATTTATCAACTTAGCACTTATTCAACCAAAATATAAGTCTGATGATTAAACAATAAAAAAGAAAGAAACTAGCTTTAGCAGTGTGTTGTTTCAGAAGCAGTGCAAAGTAGTTTACAGACCAATACACGAGGGAGCTGCAATTTATTTTTCAAAGGCAAATTTCGCTCCGCTAACTGGGCCACTCGCATTTATTTGCGACTGATGCGGCAACGGTGCCGCAACTATATATCCATGCACATACAGTTACACGTTCATTCACTCGCAAATGATTCGATATTGTCTCGCGTTGGAAAATCCACAGGCGACTTTTAAAGGCAAAATGAATTGCTCGAGGTAATTTTCCCCGTAGGGATTTTAATTTTGTTAAGTTGTACATGCAACGTCCGCGTGACAACTTTCGCAGTCAAACATAGTAAATCAAGTCAAAGGAAAAAGTTAATGAATGCAGTGCCATTTGTTTAGCCGAGTTTTCTTTTTTGTAGGTCAGATTAAGTTAAGTTATAACTACTGTTGCTTGTATTTTTTTTTTTTTTTTGTTATTCAAGTATTTATACTCAATGAACAACAATTTTGCATGATTCACAGTATAATAATAAAGTGGAGGGAATAAAGTTCACGCCCAGAAGAGAAATCAGCCACGCGAAAAGCTCCACCTAATCAAGTTTAATTAAAAAAAAAAGAAAAAGAACAAACAGTAGTAGCTCAAAAGTAGCTATCCTCTACGTAGTAAAGTCGCGGATGAGGGGGCTTCTTCCGCTACACGATTAACGCGATAGCCAAGCCACACTCGTAATAAATTAAAAATATAAAGGTAAATTAATTGCGTCGTAAAAGCTCAACGAAGCCACGCGTTCGAAATTGAATAAATCAGGAAATTTTTGGAACTTACACAAAATTATTAACATACAGAGATAAAGAAAGGCACGAAAAATCATGAAAAATAAAATAACACCTGGAGGATGAAAAAAAAGTCCCCTCGGAAGAACCGGCGTAGCGTGCACCTAGTGGTTATAAAATACATGTACCTATATATACATAAGGACTCGCTCAGTGCGTACAATCGCGTACAACATATGATGTGATCTACAGGTACAAAATACTCATTCAGGAACACATTGTAAGTATAAAAGCAAAAAAAGAGGGGAAAACCAAAAATTGAAAAGAAAATCAGATGGTCCCTTAAGTTTCCTCGTCGTATGATCCTTGAAAATCCCTTATCTGCAAGCCTCGGGGTAAAAGTGGTACCTCTGTGCTTCTCAAAGGGTTCTTGTTTCGAGTGGGGTGGAAAAAAAAAAAAAAAAAAAAGGGAAACGAAGGAAAAGCGCGGAGAAATCGTTTGCACACGCACACTCGCACACATACCGAGCCAGCCGGCGAGCGCGCGCGCACAACGCCGCCACTCTTTCTCTCTCTCTGCCCATCTCATCTCTCTCGCAACACACGAACTCCTCGTCCGTATATCCGCGCGCGCGGCTTCTCTCTCTCTCCTCCGGGGCGGGGGGGACCACCCTAGACCCCGGACGCTCTTCAGTCCAAGTTCCGCAGCGCGCCACGCCGGACGAGCTCCTCCAAGCGAACACGCACGTTACCTATATAATAAACCTGCACCTATAGGGATCTAGTGCGCCTCGGAATCACTCATCAGTTACGGAGTACTGCACTGATTTTTTTGCCCCCCTCCCCAAACCCCCATCATCCACACATTTCGGCGAAAACTTTTGCAGCAGTTGAATTCCCGCGCACACGAGGGGGGTTGACACACCTGGCCTCCTCGCCGGTGTCCACCGTGCAGCACATTAATATACACACTATACACTCGTAGTCTGAGCAGTTGGCCGCCAACCAGTCGATCGGTACCAGTGGAAGACTCAATTCCATCCGACGACGCCGTGTGTCACCAGTGCTCCTCTCCCTACGGCTCCAGCAGCGGTTCATCCCCAACGGGGGGGGGGTTGCTGATTACCGGCTCGAAGCGAGTCGAGGGAAGGAAAAAGTGCTCCCGTGTATAGTTGCTTATACTTACCCCGTGTGTTGGATAAAGGAAAGCTCGGTGGTGCGCGTGGAGAGAAGAAGAAGTTGTTGTTGTTCGTCCTCTAGGAGCTGGCAGCGCGTGCACCGATAAATTATTATTGTCTCGCTAGACCAGACCTACCGTAAGTATACACACATTCTACAAATGGGTTGTCGCGTACATGGTTTTTATGCGAATCGTTACGAGGTGTAAATTGATACGGGTTTATACCGTATATTATGTATAATATAGGTGTACACGAATGTTGGGCAAGCATCGTTGCAACAGGGGGTGCAAAAAGAAAAAGGAACGATGCGTGTGCAGGTCGCTCGCGCACGCGTATTGTGATTGTCTGTCCTGCCACCGCCACCCCCCCATGAGAGTTTGCGTGTGTACGTGTGCGTCTACGTACCTGACCTCCGGAGAGGGCAACTTGGGATTTTCCTATCTCCTTTCTCTTTCACCCGCCACGCACCCCCCCCCCCCTTTTCCATTCTCTCCCTGCCGAGAGCCTGTTTCGCTTTCTTCTTCCTCTCGCGGATGCACATGTGTATACGGCCCACGAAAAGAGAAAGGAAAAAACACTTTCGTTTGATCGGAACAGTCGAACGTGCTCCCTCGCAGGGGGTGGCTCTCTACCGCGTGCCCGACCACTGCCATTTCGCTCGGAAAATATCTCTCGAGCCTCGAGTACCCCCCCGTATACACGCTTAATCTCAACCTGTATAGCTCGTTTATTCTGTTCATTCGTAATGAGAACCTCCTCGCTACCCCTTCCGAACGGGGTTGCTTTCGATTGCGCGTACGTAAGAGCTGTTTTGTGCTGCGTGTACATAGCAAAGGACTCTTGGAATTGTCATTCATTGCCTTTTTCTTTTCTTTTCTTGTTTTTTTTTTTTTTTTTTTTTTTTTTTTTTTTTTTTTTTTTTTNTTTTTTTTTTTTTTTTTTTTTTTTTTTTTTTTTTTTTTTTTTTTTTTTTTGTCGGAAAGCTCGGGGCCACTGTTGTAAAATGATCATCGTGCATGACTCGGCTCCCCGAGAGTTTCGCTCGGCAAATCTTGTGCAAGGGCTCTTGAGCACCTAGTTGTTGTTTTTTGCCAATTGAACAATTTTGGGGGTTGATTGGGCCAATAGAAAAATTTTCCAATTCCCCGGCAGTAAATTTCATTTCAACGCGATTATCGTGTCCCCATGGAAAAACCGTCAATAATAATACTCTCGAGGCGCATATATATCCGTGCAATGGGATCTCGATCGAACACACGTGTACATGTATAGTTGTGCAGAGTGGTTCTTTTTATCATCTCCAGCGATAGTAACGAGACACTCGCGTTCTCGTTAAAAGAGAGAGAGGAAATAAAGAGGATCCCTTTCTTATTGCGACGCGCGGTAAAATAAATCCCCTGACTAATCGAATAGCTGCGCACAAGATGCGTGTACACAAAATTATGACGCTGGTCATGCAGTGGTCAAGTTTGCGTGCTCTCGATACACAACGGTTTTCGTTTGGACGGTAAATCAAGCTCGAAGGAAGTGTGTGTGTGTGTGTGGCAAGCAGCTTAATCTTCGGGCGCGCATGATTTGCTGTATCCTGCACGTCAGGTGTAACGAGACGCCTATTGTACGTGCGTATACGACGTTTCATTTGATTCCTTTTGGCGGTAGTCGAATGCGGTCGCGGAGAAAAGGGGAAGGATCGACGGAATCGCGTTAAAAATTGGGTGGAAACGAGAGGGTGGGAGTAGTAATAATACGTCCTCGTCGGCGGCGAAAGGACGAAGAAGAAGTTTCGGAGCTTGTTAGGCTCTGGCCGGGATGATCATCTGCGCCTGATGTGGCTACACTGTGCCGCGGTACGAGAGCGCGCTTGTAAATGATGACGGCGCCGGTGTACCGTTTTTCTCTTTCTCGTTTCGTGGGTCGTTTGTACGTACACTCTCGTGCGTATGTGTGCGTCAGTGCTCTTGACAGACTGGGAATTGTGTAGTGCGATGTATAGCGGGGACGAGGAGAGCGTTCGTTCAATTTGCACTTGTTTAACTCTTTCTTTTCTCTTTTTGCCGAAACTTTTTCGGAATACCAAGTTGGAAAACACGCATTCGTCGATTCCTCTGCATAATCTAAAGGCATTTCGTTCAAAGTGGAAGAAAAAAAAAAGTCCGAGTTGTAAAACTCGGGTGAGTGCCTTTTTGAAGAGAAGTAAAAATTCCGAGTATGAAAAGAACGTATTGATTAACGAATTTACACAAATAGAATTGTTTTTTCTGAGTACAATTCGTCATCAATGACTACAATTTACGATGGGTCTAAATTTCGAAATGACGTACAGAGACAATAGGTTGTCTATGAATGTTACTCTTTGAAATTTTGACTTATTGGAAGTTAGTTACTTATGACAAATCGTACTCAGAAAAATAATGATTCAGTTTTTATTTGGTTGTTAACTAAAGAAATTTTGTTTTTCTTACGAAAGACACCCACCCGAAAAAGTCAAGCCAGGAATTTCTCGTTAAAAAGGAAAAATGTCTTAATTACGAAATATCTGAAATTGAACAAGTGTCGCATGTACGTATACATGTACATAGACACGCGTACGTGTAATACAGCTCAAAGTATCCGGCTCTTTAATGGCTAAATTACAGAGGGAGAAAATATCCCATTTTCCACTGAAAAGTCCATTCGCTCCCCCGACCCTCGTATACATTCAATAAAATTACTTTATATACAAGCGCGTGATTGCAAGCCTATACGTCTATTGCCACAACCACACGCATCGCAGCTCTTTGCAACTTACGCGCAAAAATATATGTGCCATAAACAAGTTTCTCCCAACCCTGTAATCCCAGCTGCATACGGGATATATGTATATGTGCGCTATACGGACGTGTGTATCTTTTTTTTTCTCGCTCGCATATTTCTCCTCCTCTTTCACTGTAGGCACTCGTGTAAATCGGTATGAGTAATTTCACGCTACGTGCAGCTATCATATAACATATATACACACGCGTTCGAGGGCAAAACACACGATTCGGCAAAAGTCGCGTACCTACAGGGCTGCTCGTTGATTTTTAATTTCCTGTTTCGCTCGTGTGTCGGGATGCGGCAAAAAATAGTTCATTTGCGAGTGTCAACGTTTTAACGAAAACCACGGATGGGGACGAGTAGGTACGTGGTAGTGCAAAAAAAACGGGCCACGTACGAGTGCGGGTCCACGTGGACAGTTAAATTGGCCAGATTTCCGTGACGGATAGCGCATATAATACACACATACACAAGTTCTGTGTCGAGGCGACGTAATTTACGACACTTTGGTCATTCAAGTGGTCCTGTGCTTAATTACAAAGGCATGCATGGGTCGTAGAGCTCATCGTGTTTTATTAACTCCCCTCCCCCCACCCCTTTTTTTTGTTTCATTTGTTTAAAGTGCCACGTGTCCTATCGTGATGTATATGGCATTTCCGTGCTTGTCGTTATACTACAGGCCATACTCCCGCGGGAACGAAACTCTTTTACTCGTCCTCTCTCTCTCTCTTCGATCCACGTGTCTATGTACATCCTTCATCGTAACGGAATTCCCATCGTAAAATCGTTTCTCAATATGTTTATATATTGGGCACTCCACTATCGCGCGTGTGTGTGTGTGCCTCTCCGATGAGTTTCGCTAGTCATGCTTCGAGTGTTTCAACGCCGGGTACCTTTTTTTTTTCATACAGAGCCGCTCTAGAAAATTCAAGCCTTTCTCATGAATGCGTGATTCTTCGCGCTGAAATTCAATTTTTAATGGACAATTGAAAATAAAATCATTAAAGATAGCAAAGAAGCTGCCTTTTATACGAGTGAAAAGAACGAAAATAATAGCCGCGTCGAGAGTAAAGAGGCCCGGGTCGGGCCAGTGGTACATTATAACGGGAGAGCGCATATATACACAAGCGGCGAATTTTCGTGATGAGCCTCGAGAAGGAGCTCGGTTCTCTTTCGTTTTTGTTCTCTCCGCGTTATCTTACCTCTCTTTGACTTTTTTTTTCTTTGTTGCTTTCTTTTCCCTGCGATTGAATTCGCGTCATAAATCTCGCGCTGCCTCATACGCCGCGCGTGTATTGTGCTCGTCACGATTCTGCCAAAACACTTTTTTTTTTTTTTTTCTTTGTTTCACAAAAAGAGGAACGCGTTCGAGAGAACTTTGAGGTTTGGTAACAAGATGCGTGCGCGACGAGGAAAGAATTTCTAAAAGAGCTTTTTCTGCTGTTGGAAAAAAACATTTCTTACATATTTTTTTTTTTCGCGGGCAACAACGGAAAAGCAAACAAACAATTTTAATGGATTTTTAATTTTAGACTCGCTCGCGGAGCTAAAGCGAGACGATAATAAACTTGGCGAATTTTTTTTTTTTTTTTTTTTTACAAACAATATACGAGGAGTATGCGCGTAGTTTGAGTGTGTTATGATTTAAGGAGAAAAAAAAGACTCGCAATCAAGTGAGAACAGTTTCAACACAATACATCAGATCTGACCAACGGAGGCGTCGTGGGAACTTTTTTTTTGCAACCAAATCGATAAATTTCCAATTCCAGTTTTCTCAGGAGAGAAAAGATAAATGAACTGCCGTTGTATGTAAAGGAAAAAAATAGAAAGAGAGAGAGAATAAAAGAAAAAGGAGGAGGAGACAGGGACGAAGGGATGCGCTCGACTTGCTCTCTGTATATATACGTACAAATACCTGACGCTATAGTCTCGAAAGGTCGAGCATACAATCTATATGATGCCGGTGACACATTTTCGCGCCTTTTTTTTCTCTTTGGTTCAACTCGAAAGCGTGTCACCATCTTTAGGCTTCTGTTTTTCTTTCGCTCTCCTTCCTTTTCCTCAAAAACTAGGATAGTCACGTTTGTACCTATATACACCAGGCAAAAATAACGAAGCAACTTTTTTTTCCATAAAATTCCACCAAGAGTAAGGTATCCAGGATATTACTCGCAGATATTCATCCATGTACACAATATACTCATAAAACCGCGATGTTTACTCGAGTATTTATAATGAGATTATCATTCTGCGCTCGATCTTTTATTTATATTATATTTTCAAATCACATAAACCTGCATAAATTATTTTTTCCCCAAAGTAGTGCTGAAATCCTATAC